TAACAAAACTTGCATTTGACTTACCAATTAACAATGGACACTTTCATAAGGCGGATGCAGGTAGGCAGCGTCTCGAATATATTGCTCTAGCCATATAATGCCGAAACCACAAGCCTACTGCAGCTCTATCTCTATCGGTGGGAGGTAGAAACTCTGTTCTTCCCGTCGTCAAACGCGCCAAGCACAAGCATACGAGAGGACCACAATCCCCTCTGCTCCCGACGATTGTTGTGGCGCGGTCTCGTCTCTGACAACTGTGACATTGAACTTCTTTGGCTTCTTGTGTCCAGAATGAGTCCAATAATTAATCCCATCCAAGAATTTAGCCAAATGAGAGCTCCATCCCTTGATCATATCTCTCAAATCAGACAGTGATATGTAATTTATCATGCTGTCATACACTATTATCTTCAGGGATGGGAGCTGAAGTTGGACGAGAAGCCAATGACGACGTTCCAAAACAGGGATAAACACCTGCAATCATAAGTAATAATTCATTTATTTGCGCACTTATTTATGAACACCTTTAAAAAATTTTAAAAATAAACACTAACCGTATCGACCTCCCACCATGCAGGATAAAGTTTAGCTTGTCCGTTGCCCAACGAAAATGATTCATCTCATTGATTCTTCAAGTGAACTGCGTGAAAAGTCGCCGGCATTATTGTATATCGCGAATTTTTTTTTTTTCCTAAGCTTCCTTATTATTAGTAGACGTGACACCCACGCATCGATATGCTGTTTTACAAAAAATATATATATATTAGTGAATTACATTAATTTTTAAAAAATTAATCAAAATCATATATAAGACAAATATAATACTTACCTCCCCATCGAAATAGCCACTGTCTTTAACCCCTAATAGCACACCCCACCAAGACCGATCAAGCAACAAAAACATTTCATCGTTGAGTTTGCTTATGTCAGTGTAACACCCTTGGCTCCGCTCATGTAGATAAAAATCAACTGCGGTCTTAGCCCAAAGGGTATTATCCACAATTGTTTCCGGTAGTTGTCTCCTCTCCACTTCAGATACCGGAAGGGTACTAGCCGGTAACTCATACGAGAGCCAACTCTTATCCATCATGTCCGGAACCGGTGGGGGTTTCTCAATACTTCGATATATTACCCTATGTGAATCGGGCTCTGGAATGGTGAGAGGGACCTCTTCAACGATGACAGTGGCCTCTTGAACGGTGGGGGGGACTCTTGAGGGAGGATAGGGGCCTCTTGAACGATTGGAGGGGACTCTTGAGGGATGACAGGTGATTCGGGCTTCTTCTTGCGGAGTCTTCGTACCATTGGGGTGAACGGAGACGTAATAGCACGTCCACGCCGTCTGATGCGTGAACTCCGTCGTGCAAGGAAAACCCGACGTAAAGCATCCACCTTATCGGGCCGCTAAAAAAATAATACATAAATCAGTAAATAAATAGACATGATATTAAACAAAGACAAATATGTTTCAAACTAGCATTGTATTCACCCAAGTCATTATTCTATCATAGTTCACAAAATGCTCAGATAACATTCCAGAAGTAAGCACTTATATAAACATTTAAAAGGACAACATATATAAACATTCCAGAATAAGAATATTTTACTTTCGCAGCACGAAACTTAAAATCGCAACGCAAAAATGACTATCGCAACGCGGGAATGGCTATCGCAATGCGAAATGAAAATCGCAACGACAAAATCACAATGCGAAATGAAAATCGCAACGAAAAAATCGTAATGCGAAATGAAATCGCAACGACAAAATCGCAACGCGAAACACAAATCGCATTGTAATTTTCATTTCGCGTTGCGATTTTTTCGTTGCGATTTCATTTCGCATTGCGATAGCCATTTCCGCATTGCGATAGTCATTTTCGTGTTGCTCAAGTAAACTATTCTTCTTCTGCAAATTGAAACTTGAATGGATTGCATTACTTCAACCAAAAGACAAAAACAAAACCAAAAACAAATACTAACAAAAACAGTTTAGCAGTATTGGCAGCAACCGAATGAATTACGAGTATGAAAAATCTTAAACTTACCTCGTTGCGTAGAGTATGAACCTCATTCTGCAACGATGCTATCATCTCACGTAGAGCGGCTACCTCACCGCGTAATGTAGACACCTCAACACGCCATGCACCATCGTCTTTACGTAAAGTACCGACCTCGTCACGCAAGGCATTGACCTCATCACGTAACTCCCCTAACTCATCCCGTTGAGGTGGAGGTGGAGAACAAGGAGATAAACGTCGTGGCATCTTTGCCGGTCGCCTATCTTGCGGTGATGGTGGAGAAGAGGCTCGATGATGTGAAAGAATAGGTGATGGTTATCGTTGTGGAGGTGTATAGTCGGGTCGATCAGATGATGGCTCTGGGTGAGGTGATAGCTCTGGGCGAGGTGATGGCTCCCAAAGTGGAGGCTGCTCATCAACCGTTCCATCAAAAAAACGCTTACTAGCTTGCCACCAATCAGTGGCAAGCTCAGCTTCCGTGGGTGTCAGCCTCTGTAGAGGAGTGTTGGCCTCCTAACAATATAAAATCTCAAACAAAGTTAAACGTGTACTAGTAATAACTTGTTTATAAACATATGGTAGTATTTATGTTAACTTACATTATTTATTGTCGTATACCGTAGTAAATCTTCCCATTGCAAGGTCCGTTTCCTCTTCCAGGAAATAGCCCTGGGAATATCATTTGAAGTTTTTATTGCATATGTCTTCATGGCGGGAAAGGCCTCAAATATCCAAATCTACAAACAATATAATAACAAACATTAGTAATTGTTAAATAATTACTTATAATTTTGGAAACATTATATAAAAATTCTTACCTTAAAGGCCCAAATAAAGCCTGTCAAAGTGTATTTGGAACCATCGCCATGCAAACTTTTTCGATCATCCAAGGCAGACGATAACTTATTCCATGTAGCTTTCCATAAATACGAGCCCCACGGAAACAGGTTCCACGCATTTAGGTCTTCTACCAATTTGATTAGATCATTTGGAATAGGTTGTCTGGCCTCTCTACCTAAAAATCCGGCATGCAAAAGAATTAGAAGGCATACTCGGACAACGTCGACGTCATCCATCCGAGTAAAACCATCTTTCTTATTCAACAATCTTGTCAGGTCTTCTACGTGTAGATTCGGCCTCTCCAGCTCAAGAAAAAACCGGGATAGCCATGATGGGCGGGTAATGTGTCTAGTGTACCGACCTACATCATCGTGTCCGAAGCGTAGACCGGTGATTAAGAAAAACTCCTCCCGCCCAAAACACGTATACGCCGGTGGAAAATCAAATCATATCTCTTCATCACGACGTTGTATAGTCTCTGGTAGATCGCTAGTCATGGTTTGAAGAAACAGGTGTGTCAACATCGCATCTCCACCGGGATGTTGTACTTTCAGCCATGGCCCGAAGCATGTATCCTCAAACATTTTTCTTTGTGCAGGTGAAAGCTTCGACGCAATTGTTTTGGCCAGGCTGACTTTATTTCTTAAGGTCAATTGAGCCGAATAAAAGTTCTACAAAAACAATAAACATACTAAGTTAGATATACCAAAAACTACACTGTGAAGATATACCAAAAACAATAATAAACATAAAGAGTAGTAGTTTATTCTTCAAACTTAAATTTGCAACACTGTGAATTTCGTATTTGTCTTTGTTTTTTGGTTGAAGTAATGCAATTCATTCAAGTTTCAATTTGCAGAAGAAGAATAGTTTCTGAAAATGAAAATCGCAACACGAAAATGACTATCGCAATGCGAATTTGACTATTGCAACGAGAGAATCGCAACGCGAAACTAAAATCGCGTTGCGATTTGCATTTCGCGTTGCGATTCTCGGTTGATTTAATAAGAAATCTAAGTGAAATGGTTAATCTATTATTGAAATTACCAGTAAACTTATCATCAATTTCAATATGAAAAACCTAATAATAATGCAAAAATTTCAAAAAGAAAATAATTAAAAAAACTAACCCTCGTTGGTTGATTTGGTTGATTTTCCATTTCTGATTGTGAGGGTGGCTCTGAAAGATGGAGATAGATAGATTTCGCCGGAGATGGGGACGGATTTCGTCGGAGATGGGTGAGAGAGTGAGAGATGGAGATGGGACTGAGTTGTGATTTTAGGTTTTAGGTTATGAGTTGCGATTACGGGATATACTGTGGACGGTTCAGTGTTCCAATATATTAATATTCGTGTTTGGAATTTAAAAATAAAATACTTGGCCAGGATACTAATGGCGCTTTGAAAATCGCATTGCGATTATGTATTATCTCGTTGCGAAAGTCAGTATCGCGTTGCGAAAGTCAGTATCGCGTTGCGATTTTGTATTATCGCGTTGCGATAGTCAGTATCGCATTGCGATTTTCCCAATTCGCGTTGCGATTTACTTATTCGCATTGCGAACTGGGAAAATCGCAACGACACTGTAGACCATCGCAACGCGATTTTCAACTATCGCAACGCGAAATGCAACGCGAATTTGCGATAATGGAGATCGCGTTGCGAATTAGCGATCACATTGCGATTTTGTTGGTCATTTTGGCAAATCCGAAAAAAGTTGGTTAAAATCGTATATTATATGGGAATTTTGGTCAATGAGGCGATTTTCTCAATACTAAATTTGAAAACCAAAATGGGCTTCTTTTGTTTAAGCCCAAAATCTAGCCCTAAAATGGAGCTATTTTAAAACCCTAGATAGGTTAAATTGTTTCGGCTGCTTCACAGTTCACCATCCAGTCCGATAACAGAGCAGGGTTATCGCTCTTCATCTGCTACCATGGTATACTTTATTTCTCTTTTTTTCGTTTGGTTTTCTTTTATCTTTTGGGCATGTTTTGGATCTCATCTTTTTCTCCGTTACAATGTTTTAGTCGAATGAGTAGTTAATCTTATGGTCATTATTTTATAAGAGGATTTGGGTAGGGATATAGAGTTTTGGGATTTCTTTTTCTTCCTTTTTTTCCATTTTCAAGAAATTGCCAGTGAAGTTGCAGAGTTTATTATATTTTAATAAATCAACGATAACTTTACTATGTTATGAATCTGAAAATTGGCCATGAGTTGATGACTTTATCATAGGGTTGCTGTCAGAAACCCTAGTGTCAAACAAACTTTGATGAGATTGCAAAGGGTAATATTGGTCGTGGAAGAGCTATCTGTCGATGAAGTCTAACCTAGGTTTTCATTGTGGAAATAGTTGCTAAATTTACAACATTTTTTCTTTTGAGCTTATTTATGAATTGGTATTGCAGGTGAACGTGCCTAAGACGAAGAAGACATACTGCAAGAGCAAGGAGTGCAGGAAGCACACTTTGCACAAAGTTACACAGTATAAGAAGGGTAAGGATAGTTTGGCTGCTCAAGGGAAGCGTCGTTACGATCGCAAACAATCAGGTTATGGTGGTCAGACCAAACCAGTGTTTCACAAGAAGGTAAATTTCATTTCAGTCATCTTTTATCCTTGAATGTATATTAGATATGCATTGAAAAGTACTAGGTTGTAAGCAATTGTTTAGTTATTCATTTTGTCACGCCCTTGACTCGATGTAGATGTATATTTAATTAAAATATCAGTAATCTTGTGCTGCATATCCTGGTACTAGTTTTTGAGCTGTGTTTGGTTAACCATTTTATCAATTCAATTATTTCCACTTTTTTGAGAGGCCAAGAGTTTGATTTAATGTTAGATATATTTGAGAAGATCAATATCCCCATACTAGGTTTTGTCAATGCGATTATTACCATTTTCTCAAGTGTGTCCTAGCCTTTACAATATATATGACTGTGTATCCTCTGAACAGGCAAAGACCACCAAGAAGATTGTGCTAAGGCTTCAATGCCAGGGTTGCAAGCATGTCTCACAGCATCCAATCAAGGTGGGTGCATTGAAAGCCATGTTGTTTAAATGAGCTAACTTTTGGTTGTTTTCTTTATACTGGGATTTTTGTTTCCATTAACCATGTTTTTTTAATGAACTAACTTTTGATCGTGTTTTGGATGCTGGGTTTTTGTAGAGGTGCAAGCACTTTGAGATAGGTGGAGACAAGAAGGGGAAGGGAACATCTCTGTTCTAAATGTGAATGTATGTCTAATGTTATGTTATGGGTTTTACTTTGGAATTTTGTTAAGCTTGCTTTTAGTTCTCTAATGTTGTTTCCAGACGATATTGTGTTCTTTTAAGGTTACTTAATGACATTGGGTGCACTCTCTGTTTTCAGTTGTTTCTCTAGTTCTGATGTTGAAATTGATTGTCTTGTCTATTGAAAAGATCAAAATCTGTAACATAATGGAAACTGAGTTTAAAAATAAAGGAATGTTTACAAGTAGATTATGTTGAACAGAATGAACTGTTGAAATTGTAATTTAATTAATAAAATAATTTATTTAAGTTTTATTATAAAAATATGTTAAATTACATGAATATTATAATATGCTTCAAATAGTAAATATTTGGTATCTGTTGGGATGTTTATATAAAGCAGCTTTGTTCTAAATTGCCTTAACTGCATTAATAAGTAGTTGTATTTTACCAGTTTATTGAAATAAACTGGTAAATTATGTAAATTTAACTTGGTAGGTTAAGCTACCTATTATATAGGAGCAAAATGTTTCGAACTTGAGTCTGAATGTACGCCATGTATCGGGAAATGACTTCTCCCTGAAGAAGTTGAGGAGTTACGACTCCCTGAAGAAGTTAAGGAGTTTGGGTTAATCGATGAAGTTATTGATCCAAGGCGGCTCACGGTTTAATTGCTTCTTTCTAGCAGTAAAAAGGGTTTTGATGCATCTATGAAGTTTTGTTGGCAAAAGGGTACAATAAATTGTTGTTTAATTTCTTTAATTTCTATTGATGAAGTGTTGTTTTTCAAGACCATTTCTTTCTATATTATGTACTAATGGAAAGAGCAATTTGGGGATGGCATTTGACGCTACGCTAGTGAAGCTAATCAAGCGCTGTTTTGCTTTTACGAGCTGACACTGGCCGCAGTAATGTCAAACTACTACGACCACCAATACTGCTGCCGTTATCCTCATGATCATGCAAACACAATATGCTTAATGACTTCCTCACTTTGGATCTGTCGGATTCGTCTTTCGGATGTCCGAAGTTGGGCTTCGACTTGAATTGATTGGGTTAGAGTCGTCACCGATCATTTATTTGAAAACAAATGGGTTGATCGTAGAGTTGGGTATATGGGCTAAGGCCTGCGGGCTACCCGCGACCTGTGCGGGCTTCGGGCCTCAAAAATTGAAGATCGTTTAAATTGCGGGTTTTTAGCCCGGACCGTTAAACCTGTAGGTTTAATGGGTATAACCGCGGGCTACCCGCGAAACCCGCTAAAGCCCGCTTAATTTAAAATTCATAAAATTTTAGATAAAATAAACTTAAAGAATTTTATAGAAAAAGAAAATAAATTACCTATAAATATGTTACTTATAACTATTGTAGTTCTTAAATTTATTAGGGTGTTTGTCATAATTTTACCACTGTTTGGTATTTTTTTATTTAAATATACATCATTATCATTTTGGTATTTAAAGATTTTTTAATTTAATTTTGACCTTTATTTTTTTTCATGAAGTATGTTGTTCATTTTGTTATTTAATTATAAAAAGTCACGTGATATTTTAATAATATATCACATGACACGTAATATTTGGATTAAAAATAAGAAAGAAAAGTAAAAGAAAAAATTGAAAATATACTTTTCAACTGTTAAAGATTTTTACAAAATAAATATATTTTAACAAATTAATTACTTATATTTTATCAATTTTAATATAACTGTATCTTTCAAATTTACTCTTATACTGTAAGTATTTTATTTTATATTTTCATATTATGTTTTAGTCTTTCTCTAAAGTATCCATAAAATACAATTATTAGGACCACTTGACAACTTTCTTGTTAGATTTGTATAATGTTTGATTTTGTTGAATTTTTATGTTTGAATTTCTGCTTTCAGAATTCATACACTTATGTGTCTTCATATTATAGCATTGAATAATCGTGTTTTATAAAAGTGTAATGTGGTTATTGTTTTATTTGTTTTTCAATTTGGTGATATAAGTGAATATTGTTTTTTTAATTTGAGTTTAAGTAACTATATCATTATATATATATGTATTAATGATTAAAATTTTTTAAAAAATATTATTTTATAATTATTTCCGGTTATTTAAAATAAAAAATTAAATATTATTTATTATTTTGACGGTGCTACCTTCCTTTTCAAGTTGCTCGATCATTTTTAAAGGTGTAGTAAGTTAAAACATTATTTTTTATTGCATTTAAAACATTTAAAATTATTTTTATTAAACGGGTCGCAGGTAAGCCCGTTTAGCCCGCGGGTTAAATGAACGGGCCGCGGGCCTTAAAATTCAAAACCGTTTATGAATGCGGGTTTTTTAGCCCGCACTGTCAAAACCCGCGGACTAAACGGGCGGGTAGCCCGTATACCCACCTCTAGTTGATCGGATACCCTATTTCTTACTTGGTTTACGTCTTTCCAAAGATATGTCGGATTCGTGAGTCGGTTACAGTCAAGGAAGGGTTAGCACCCTTAAACTGCCCTTTCGGTACTACATAATTTCCAGTTGACTTTAATTAAGAAAATTGAAAGTCAAAATTTAAAGGTAACATATGATCCCAAATTATTTACCTCTAATGAATTTAAATCGTGCCCTTAAAAAAATCAAAAAAATGTTAGATGAAAGAGTAATGAATAATTGAATAAAATAAATAAACCCATGTAAAAAGAAGAAGAAAGAATTGGTAAATAAATGACTTAAAAACAGGAAGTAAAAAAATAAAACAAACAATGAAAAATAAAATAAGATAATAAACAAATAAAATAAAAATAAACAAATAAACAAGAAATAAATAAATTAGAAAAACCAAATGAAAATGAAAAAATGAAAATACAAATACAAATATTAAGTAAAATAATAAAATAGTAATAAATAATAAATATGAAAAAATACTAATATATAATTATTAGGTAAAATAATAATGATAATAATAATAAATAGTAAAAAAATTGAAAACAATTCCACCGAAAAGAAAAAAAATGTCTAAGTTTGATGAAGCTAAATGACGGGAAGGAAGAAAAAAAAAGAGGAGGTAAACCCTAGCTAATAAATGTGAGGTGATGTATATATAATAGAGTGTTTAATAAAATATGTAAATATATATATATATATATATATATAATATTAGTTAAAAACAAAAATAATAAGTAAAATATATACATAAATAACATACCTAAAATATGAGAAATAAAAAAACATATATATAATAATAAATAAAGAAAAAGAAAAAATAGAAAAGAAATAAAAAAATAAATTAAAAGAAGAAAATATTAAAAACGTAAATATATATAAATATATATACATACATAGATAAGTAAAAAGTAGTAATAATAAAAATAATAAGGATAATATAAATAATAATAATAAAAAATAAAAATAGTAAAAGAGTATAAAAATAAATTAGTAAATATATATATATACATATAATAATAATATATATAATAAAACGTAATATATAAAAAATATTTAAAATACGAATTTAATTTAATAGGTGCTAAATTGAAAAGAAAAATGAATTGAGTGGTCGAATTAAAATAAAATTGGGGTTTGAGAATCGAATTTGGGATCAAAATAGGATCTTAAAAAAATGAAGGGGACAAAAAAATACGGGAAGCATTTGAAACAGTGCGCAGAGAATACAAAAAATACGACGAGGAGTATTCAAAAGAAATACCCAGAAAAAAGACGTAAGAAATACACGAGGAAACCAAAAGGAAAAGAAGGGAGAGAATACTTACCACGGTCGTCGGAGCCTCCACGCACCATCGAAAAAACGAGACATAAAAGGTAAAATTTGTAGATCTACGTCGTTAGGATATTTTTCTATTGAAACAAAGCCGGAGTGTTTCTGAAAAATTTGTAGATCTCGTTTTATAAAAGTGAAAAACGAAAATGAAAAAAGGTTGAACAAGTTAATGCAGTTACCTACTTTTTATTATTATAAGAAATAATAGTAAGAACAAAGTTGTCCATGAAAACGCAATATTCAAGATTGATGGCACTTTGCCCCCACACCATCACATGTTTCACTATTTTGAATTTGAAAATTTCTTATTATATTTATTCAATCTATTTTTTAATTTACTTTTTTGTAATTTCAATAATACTAATTTTATTTTCTTAATAGTGTAGAACGGTTAAAGTGTTTAATATTTGTTTGTTTATTTATTTTTTAATTATTAATTATACATATATATCATATAAGTACGATTATCAATAGTTGAAGAAAATAACATTAGTATACCATAATAGTTAAGTTTCAATATTTTTTTATTTGTTATTTATTTATTTATTATATTTATTTATAATTTATTATTTATTTTTCCCTTTGATTTATTATTTTATTATTATTATTTTTTATTTTCATGTTTATTTTGTGATTTATTTAATATTTTTATCTAACATTTTCGACTCATTTAGAAAAAAATTAACTAATCAGAGGTAAGTAATTCAAATTGAGTTTTTTTTAAAATTTCAATTTAAATTTTTAATTTTCGCAATTAAAGACAACCGACAAATTAATTGGTACCGAAAGGACGGTTCAAGAGTGTTAATCCTTCTTTGACCGTAACCGACTCCCAAACCCGACACGTTTCTGGTATAACGTAAATCAGGTAAGATGGTGTCCGACCCTCCTAAATTCGTTTTAAAGTGGTCGGTGACAACTCTAACTCAATTTAGGGTCTGTTTGTTTAGCTGTAATTGGTTTTCCAGAAAATGAATTACTGGAATTTGAATTACTGAAAAATGAATTACTGGAATTTGAATTCTGGAAAATGAATTACATTTCTGTAAAATGAATTACATTTCTGGAAAATGAATTACATTTCTGGAAAACATCTGGAAAACGTTTTATTATGTTTGGAAGATGTTATTTAAACATTTTTTCGGTATATTTTAGTGAAATAAAATTTTATAAATTATATTAATTATTTTATTAAAGTAATAGTACTATATTATATTTTAAAAATATTAATTACTATATTTTAATATCTTTACTAAAATATTTTTGAAATATATAAATAATATTATTCATTATTAAATATAAAAAAAATATTATTTATTATTAAAATAAAAATATAATATCTTATATTATTATAATATAATTGATTATTTTATATAATATTAAAAATATAATATTATATTATTATAAATATTAATAAATATATTT